ATTAAATATAAAAAAATTTAATAGATTTAAAAAAGCAAAAAAAAAAAAAAAAGCAGAGATCACAATCCAATAATGTATATAAACCAAGAAGGTCTTGTGATTAGGCAGAGATCCCATTTTCTCCTAATTTATGGACTCAAGCTCAAATGTTCTCCGTTCCCACGTTCAGTGAGGCTTTAATTCAGAGTAAGTAGTCAGAAAAGTTCCACATATGTGTAAATTTTACCTGCTGCATAAGATGGACCAAGACATTTAAAAATATATAGTTAGGAGTAGAGAACATATTTCATCATCAACTCTGACTGCATTACCCAATTTATATTTGTCTTCATATACTTGGCTTGCAAGTGCCTTCCCATAACAAGCACTACCACATCACGGCTGTTGAGAACCACCGTGTCTCTTGCTGACTATTTTAAAGAATGCATAACCCCGGTCACGTTGGAGGAAAGCTGCAGTCACATCCCCCAAGATGTGCCCATGGAGAGTCTTTGTTTAAGTTTCCCGAGTGCTTCTAAATTCATTTTCCATATCCATTATTATTACTGGCAAATATGTGACAGATGGTCATCACAGTGAAAACATTCATTTCCATTCGTATCCAGCTGCAATTCCACAATATGGACTCATGTACATTCATATAAATTAAATTTTCTGTATCTATGACTGAACTCAATTACCTATAATGACAGACAGAGCTGGGGGAGAGGGGGAAGGTTTAATCTTTGCAATATACAAATATAAAACTAATAAAGTTACTACATGTATAAGAAGGCTCTGTAACCTTAAGTTTCTGTACCTGGAGGATCTTGGCAAATATAGCAGGTATATTTCTCAGGTACATTATCTTCCAGTAAACCCATACAGACTCCATGCTGCCAGCACAGACACTCTTCACACTGTTTAAAGTCAAGAAGTGCACATCAACAGAAATGAAGCCTAAAGGAGTTTAATAAGATTATCTCAATTAAGAGACACATCATCTACATATTTTAAGACAAAAAGGTGTATTAATAATACCCACCCCCCTCTTCCAGCCACAAGCAAATACATTAAAGAATCAGACTACAATAAGCTTCGAAGCCTTCCCACACATTTTTCACATGGATTTCTAGAGAATGACACCAATAGCAAAGTAGAAGCAGAGATCCTGAGAAGTGCAAAAATGTTCCCTCTGGAGATGAAAATTTTCACAACATGCATGCACACATAATCAGGACAAAACAGTATGCAATCAAGCTTTCTTTAGCAAAATGTATCAATTTTTTCCAAATTAAAAGGTTTCCTCCTCAAATTGTTAATCACATTCAATTATAAAATCCAAGGGCTATTTATGTCACATAGGACTAGCCAATATTATGTTTTACTGATACTTGTATCTCTAACGTTTTATCTATTTCAAAGATAGCCCTACTAATATAAAACTAAAGTGCAGATGCAGTTGCACTAGCTCTAGAAACTTCTGACATCCTTCTAAGTGCAAGCAATCATACTAGCAAAGACTGAACAGAATTTGGCCCTAATTTCTTAACGCAGTTATGCTATTTAAAATGCAATCACCGTACTTAAAACCATAGAGTTTTACAGCAGGAAAAACTATATCCCCATGTTCTGTTTCAGGCACTTTCCCCACACATGCACTTTAACAACCAGACAAAACTGCAACTGTAGCCCAAACACCACTGAAACATAGGACAAGCCCCACAGAAGAATATTAAGACAATTCTGATTTGAAACTGTGGTGTCAGTTCAGAATTACTATTTTCACAACCAGTGAGGCAATAGATCATAGCCTTTATTTCTCAGAGCACAAGTCTAAAGCTCTATGCAGCCATCAATATTGGCAAAGGTTTTCAAAATGAGCTAACCCAAACACAAACAGCAACTGCAAGCAATCTCAGATGCTGCTCTTCACTGACCTACAAAGACGCCAACTTTATTAACATCTCATCTGTGTTGAACACCACTTACACCACTTTTATTAGCGCTCTTATTATCTGCTGCCTTTCCTCAAGCTAAGAGAGACAGAACAGGACCACCACCGTTTGAATTCATGGTTGTATTAAATGAGTGGTCTAGTGGAGGAAACAGAAGCTCTGGGAACAAAAAATGTAAAATGTTAGAGAAAGAGGTTTCTGAAAGCTGGGACTAAAAATGTTTTGCCTTACTAAGTGGGTAAACAGCCCTAAAGCGATAATTTTCAAAAAAGGCTGAGAGACATTTTCAAAAAAGGCTGAGAGACATTTTCAAAAAAGGCTGAGAGACATTTTCAAAAAAGGCTGAGAGACATTTTCAAAAAAGGCTGAGAGACATTTTCAAAAAAGGCTGAGAGACCATCCTCATTTTGCAAAGATGATTAGTAGGAGGCAGAAAAAGGTGTCCTAAAACAAAGAAGGCTGATTAAGAAAAACAGACTGTGTGCTAAAAATAAGAAGAGACCTCCTGGACCTACTTATGCTTGCATCCTATAAAACCATATGGCACAGAGCTACACTCAGTGAGTTTCAAGGCAAATTTCCTAGAACTCTAATGAAGCATCCCAACCTTTAAATTTTTTTTTTTATTTTACTCAATTGATATTCAAATATCTGCCCCATCAGGGTACAGGTCCTTCCTTTTATCTGCATGTTCTACTTCCCAGCTTGCCTGGCCAGGCTACAGGCCTTTGCTCTGGACACGCTACACAGAAACTACCCCGTGACCTGGCAGTAGCAGGGAGATTCAAAGCAAGCTAAATTAGAGATTTTGAAAAGAAAAAACGTGTAATTTTGCAATAATATTTAAATCAAAGTTCAAGTGCAAAGAAAATAACGGAACCCAATGGACACGTATTTAAAGCTGCTTTTCATCTACCAGAACAAAAATATCCCAAGTCCATTTACATTCACAAAAAGAAGGGACAACGACATTTCATCTGGACATTTTTGGGGCCAAGCGTTACCCTACTACAGGAGTGCTGTGCCTTTAGAAGCAGAACACGGCAATGCAGCTCAAAGCTACTGCTTTGCACAGGCTCCGTAAGTGAAATCTAGTAACCTCCTTGCAAAGTTAGAGAGACTGGAATGAAACGGCATTGACCAACAATATGATATTTTTTTATACTTTTTTCCAGTTTTAACTTCTACTAACTGAGTCAGGTACTTACTTTAAACGCAACCCCCTATTTCTATATCTTGCTGTAATGAATGGCACTCTTTATGCACAAATTGCTTGAGACAATTTAAGGCAAGTTCAAGATAAAGGAAGAGTTTTTTGCAAAATTTCTAAGCTAATGTCCAGGGATTTCCTGGCATCTTGAGTGCCACTCCAAATTGTATAATGGACAACCAGGGGATCAGGCCTAGTCAGCATGGGTTTATGAAAGGCAGGCCCTGCCTGACGAACCTGATCTCCTTCTATGACAAGATGACCCAGCTATTGGACCAGGGAAAGGCTGTGGATATTGTCTACCTAGACTTTTGAAAAGCATTTGACACTGTATCCGATAGAATTCTCATGGAAAAACTGGCTACTCATGGCCTGGATGAGCATATGATCTGCTGGATCAAGCACTGGCTGGGTGGCTGGCCCCAAGAGTGGTGCTCAATGGAGTTAAATCCTGCAGGTGGCCAGTCACAAGTGGTGTTCCGCAGGGCTCAGTGTTGGGACCATTTCTGTTTAACATCTTTATTGATGATCTTGGTAAGGACATAGAGTGTGTCATTAGTAAGTTTGCAGATGACACCAAGTATTGATCTGCATGAGGACAGGGAGGCTCTACAGAGAGACTTGAATAGATTGGATTGATGGGCCAATGTTAAGTGTACGAGCTTCCAGAAGGCCAAGTGCTAGGTCCTGCCCTTGGGCCACACCAACCCTCTGCATTGCTACAGCCTGGGGAAGTGTGGCTGGAGCTGCCCGGCAGAAAAGGACCTGGGGGTTCTCATTGACAAGCGGCTGAACATGAGCCAGCCGTGTGCCCAGGGGGGCAAGAAAGCCAATGGCATCCTGGCTTGGATTAGAAATAGTGTGAGCAGCAGAAGTCGGGAGGTGATTGTCCCCCTGTACTCAGCACTGGGGAGGCCACACCTGGAGTGTTGTGTCCAGTTTTGGGCACCTCAACACAAGCGAGATCTGGAGGTGCTGGAGCGAGTGCAGAGGAGGGCAATGAAGCTGCCCTGGAGGGCCTGGAGAACAAATCTTATGAAGGAGCTGGGGCTGTTTAGTTTGAGGAAGAGGAGGCTGAGGGGAGACCTCATCACTCTCTACAGCTCCTTGAAAGGACATTGTAGAGAGGTTGGTGCTGGTCTCTTCTCACAGGTAATTAATAATAGAACAAGAAGGAATGGCTTCAAGCTGCAACAGGGTAGGTTTAGACTGAATATGAGGAAACAATTCTTCACAGAAAGAGCGGTCAGACACTGGAATAGGCTGCCCAGGGAAGTGGTTGAGTCACCATCCTTGGACGAGTTTAAGAGTTGTTTAGAGATTGTGGTATTGGGGAATATGGTGTAGGGGAGAACTTTGTGGAGTGGGGTTGATTGTTGGACTCAGTGATCCCAGAGGTCTTTTCCAATCTGCATGGTTCTATGGAAGTTTTGGGGGTTTTATTATTAGCTCCAAGACCTAAATGGAACAATGGAGCTATGTAAGAGTTTCATTAAACCTTAATGGTCCCTGATCTTTCAGGAAAAATAAAGGTGCTGCTTGCATTTAAAATTAACATATTTTCCTCATTATTTCTAGATTTGGCACATGTCCAGAAATGAGTGCAGTTCAAAGAGAAAATTACTTACCATTCTCCCGTTTGTAAGAGGACACCATACAGTTATCCTGGGAGGAATGAATCTCCAGTCATGTGCACGGAAAAACTGCCCTGGCTCCTCATTTTGATCTCAAGTCAAGGCAGACTGGCACAAAGGCACAGGCTCAAGCAAGTACCCCAAGTGCCAGCATATTTCAGTCAGATCTCAGAGTAATAGGCAGGGGCAGAAAAAACATCCCAATGGAGACAAGTGCAAAGAATGATAATATTCTTCTAAAAACCCATACACTGCACAAAAATACGTATCTTCAGAAGAGAGGACAAGTCTAAATGTAAGTTCTCTAGAGCAGACACTTCCAAATTCGAGTTTCCAAGTGTCTGATTAAAGTCTGAGTAGGACACAGGGAAGAAGTCTTTCCTTCTTACAAAATCATGACAACTACACAGGTTTCTCACTCTATAAAGTCAATCTCAGCACCACACCTCTGAAAAGCTGAAAATAGGTTTTCCACATTGTAATTCTACAGTTGTATAACACAGCATCTTTGCTTTGTGTTAATGCCCTGTATGTAAAGAGCTAACTCAGGCATTTCTACATCAACAACAGAAGACCATACCATTCACAACATTTTCCCAAAAACCACAGGCTGAGAGAAAGGTGTGGGGAACAAAGCATTTGGTACCAAAGCATCTGCCTAACCTAGCCCACCCAAAATCATGTTACCAGCTCCTTGCTCCCCAATTCCTATTGCATCAATCCCCATAGCAAATGCAGGTACTCACCACACTGTCAATCTGCACTTCCTTTCCAGAGAGAATAACCTGCTCTCCTAGACAATAGTTACTATAATACAGCTGAAGTCTTTAAAATTTTTCAATACACTCAAAAAACTCAAAACTAGTTTAACCTAGAAAACTGATCTCAGAAGCAACCCACTAAAACTGACATGAAAGCTATCCATAGACCATGTCCTGAGCCAGCTGACAGTTCTCTGCACTCTGAGCCTACTTTTGCCAGAAATATATCTGTGTTTTTCACTGAGCCATCTCCTCAGAAGGCAGCCAGCCCCCTTTATTCCCAACCGCCAGACTCCTTTTCCTCTTATACACTCAGATGCTATTTATCTAATTTTTTCCACTGCCCATCACTGTGCCCTTTCCTACTAATGCACATAGTATCTTTTATACTGGGTTGTCAGGATCCAGCACTGACACAAAAGTGTGCGTCAAAATGAACTCAGCACGATGAGAAAGTGTTCTATCTTCCAGAGCAAATCTCCATAAAGCAGCATGGAACGCCAAAGAGAACTACACAGTGAAGTTAGCTCTTAAACTTGACAATTGAGGACAAAAATCAAACTCAGCTGTGTTAGCTAGCCCTAGTAACAATTTTTGAAGTTAGCTTTTTTTTTTGCGCTGAACATCAACAACCTGTTTCAACTGTTCTGCTGCAGAAGCCAAGAATTCTTCACATTACAAATTAAACAGCACACACCCCCTCTTCTCCTTAACAAGTATCTGCCTCCATTCAAGCAATAAAGTCCACCAAAAAACAATTAGCAGTTGTGAGGTAGTACAGATCAGCTTCTGTCCTTCCTCTTAGTTCCAAACAGCAAAAAAGAACTACAGTTCACAGTAACACGCCAGAAACCATCCCAGTAAGGGGTCCCATAAAGTGGGATTCAAACCTCCCAAAAATTAGCAACAGACTTCCCAGGAAAGCAAATTCAAAAGCTGCAGATAGGGGTGAGCTTTGTGTGCCAGAAAAATATTTGTGACTGCAGTGTCATGTCATATCTTTTCACAAATAAAACAACGTCCTCAAAAGAAGGCAATAATTACCTTAAAATTTGGAATGGCACAGCTGCAAAGCTATTCTACTTCACTTGGAACTGAGGTCCCACAACAAGCAAGAAGTTATCTAGATAGGAAGGATGGGTCTCCTAAAGAACAAAACAAAAACCCCCTAATTTCTTCAGAAGGACAACTATAAGAAGCTCGGGATCTCAGTTCAAGAGCATCATACACTTAAGCCCCTGCATATGCTTCTTTTAAGACTTAGGGGAATTACCAAAGGGAGCTCACGTAAGAGGCAGTGGCAAAATGAACTAGAGCAAAAAATGCAGAAGAAATTTTTATAAGTTTGACTTAACTCTTTGAAATGACAATGAACTGGGTGGAATGGCTCAGAGTAGCTATGTGGGGAATGGTTTCCTGGTAATTTACAAACATCTCAAAAAGCAGAAGTTCCAAAGAGGATTTTATCATCAGTTTAAGCGGGAGAGATAATGGACACTATCTAGCTGGAAAGTTTTCTGTAAAGTTGGTTTAACAAGAGCACCTATAAGAAGAATGGACAAATGGCCTTACGCTATTAGGAACTTTGAATTTAAAAACTAGATGAATGCAGCTGTCCTTCAAAACAGAAGACTCAAGTATTGATTTTTTTGTTCATCCTATCTAGCAGACTGTTTAAGGCAAGCTGCTTGCCAGGGCAGAGAAGTGGAAAAGTACCAGCATCTCTTATCAACATTCTGAACATGCTCAAAAATAAGGGGAAGCAAAAAACCCAGATAAAAAGCTCCTGATTTTGAATATGTATTCTCTAAAACTAGGAAGTGCTCTAATTTTTAGAAAAATGCAAATCTGCAAAAGACAAGCAAACCCTTAATGGCTTCTATAAAATTGTCCCTCTTCTCCCACTTTCCTTTGATTAAAAAAACCCAAACCATATCAAAAAGCAGTTTGCTACCTATCATAGCAGCTGCTCGCCCTGACAAGTTACCTGAAAAACAATTTATCATTTCAGAGGACAACAACAGTTCACTTCATGTACAGAAGGCAGCTGCGCGTATTTCTATAATAGCTTTTCTACTGACACCTTCCACTGCATTCACCCTCTACTTCATACCTGAATCATGAAGTCATTTTCTTCTTTTACTTCACAAACACACCGAACAATCTCAAAATCACTTTCTTCAACTTCTTCGTCAGGGTTCGTTATTACATCAACATCCTGACTGCAGTCATCATCACTCCAAAGCAAGCTGTCCATAGATGACTCACTCAGGGTGTCATCCTCTGTACAAGAAATAGTTAGATAAAATCCCAAGTGATTACAAAAAAGTCAAATAACTCTCAATATTTCATTCCACGTATGCAGACATACATTTTTAAAACCATGAGTTCACTGTGCAATTTAGGGAATATCCGATGTTACTATGCTATGTAGTGACCTTCACTAAACGGTTTGAGGGTTACTACTTAATGAAGTTTTATATTCTCATTAATGGCTCCTTCAAAATATTCCAGCTCCAAAATATTCCAGCAACATAACAGTGCCTCAAACCAAAGGCATAAAGTCTCTTTAGACAAGTAAGTATAATAAACAAAGCCAGATTATAAATTCAAATAGGATACATACTAGTTTTTGCAATTGGTATAATTGTGACTTGGTACTTTCAAGTGTAGAGCTCCCAAAAAGAGATAAGAGGGTTTTGTCTTACAAATCATTCCATCACACAAAGTAACGTCTCCATTACAGAAATATTCAGAGTCTAACACAGAATTTAATCCTGCTTCAGAAAAGATTATTTTCATTTAGTCTCCTGTCGAGGACACATGTATCAGTCCAGAGGCAGTGCACTGCCCCAGGTATTTTTTTAAGAATGCTCCCACACTACTTTAGAGACATTAATACGTCTCTATCAATCGATTAAAACTGCCAAGAAAAATTTTTGTCGAACAACATGCTAAATTGATATGCTTACCTCAATAATATTAATGCAATGTCTACAGCTTCCTTGGGGATAGAATGGGAGGGACAGAGGGAGAAGACAAGGATTTAAATTATCTGGGAAATACTCTAATGAGCTGGAGGAGAGTGGAAGGTAGAAGTTTAGTCACTCTTAAATAGACTGCGGTCTCTCACCTATACTGGGAAGAGCTATTTTGATCCCTCAGCCCCTGAAACGAGACTGTAGAAACAGAAGAACCAGTCTATGGTATAAACTGGATCTTTTGGAGAAACGTCTGTTCTCAAACGTAAGGGGCTTAGAACCCAATGCATTAATTAATTTTCACATTTGAAAGTTCTTCTCTACCTCTGAGATAGGACACACTTTCCTGAATTACTCTGGAAGCGACAGGCTAAGCTCACTGTGCTCTCATTCTACACAAAAGTTTTATTATTACTACATATATCTTATTTATCTGTGCATTGCTTTTATTGTTAGTACAAGTTCTGCAGATACAAAAAGCAGCAAAGCAATTGTGCAAAGGATGAAATAAATTCATCTCCAGTACTCTTCACCTCTTTTAACCTCTATGAGCTGATCAAGTCTGAGCCAAGTTACTAAACTGCCAGTATGTTCTATGGTCAATATACTGCAAAACTACAACTGATCAGACTTGCAGAACATGTTTTAAGACATTATCACCACCTGCACTTCAGTCATTTTTAATGTTCACTCTTTACCATATATAATGAAATTAACTGAAGTTAATTTTTACCTTTTACCTAATACCAAACAATAGCACAGTTGTGTAAAAAACCAAACAAATCCAATGGTCACCAACAGTGTATCTACACCATAAGGAATTTGAGGTTCCTGTACGTGATCAAGCTGTCATACATTTCCCATTACCTTCAAATTTGTGATCTTTAATAATAACCAAAAGATCAAAATATTTGTCTTCCTTTTTATTGTACCAGCTTGTGACAGTAAATAAGGACGGGCCAAGATACTAAAAATTATGAAAGCTGGAACACAGCAGCCACATTATGAGCTCTGCTTATGAAGTATTAAGAAGACGCTAATAAATAGCTACTCAAGAGCTTCTCATTATGAAGCTCAGAAAGTCATTATAACCATTTATCATACTGTATCTATGTAACTACATATAACCAAAATCAGTGGTCTCAAAACCCCCACACATACTGTATAAAATTTGCATATTTTTAACTCTGAATGGATTATTATTTTATAGAAACCTTTGGAAACATGAACAATTTAATTACTGAAGTCTGAGCATTGTTATTACAGAGTTAATAAAGTGCTGCAAAAAGGTACAAAATGAGTTTGAGCTCTGAAATACAGGGAACAGTCTTAAAGCTTCTGTGAAGGTAAAGTCAAAGCAAAAAGCAGCAACATCAAGCTCTGGCAAGTGAAATGGTTCAACTTCTTCAGGTAGGGCAAAAGAAAAAACACAGCCATGCATACGAACAGCCAGATTTACATCACGAATACTAGCATTAGGGTGTATTAGTGCAGCTCACACATTTACTGGTAATGAAAGACAGAATCAGCATGCCATAGAGGAGAGTCATCTTACCATTTGTTTTTGATTTTCCTCTGTGCTGTCCAGAATCTGAGCAGTGCAGCAATGTGCTTAGGTGGGCAGATGACTTAGTTGAAGACAGACATTTTGTGGCAATTGGTTTTTCAGGGGAAGTTTCCTGTGAAATATCTGTGTTTTCTTCACTGCCAGAGTATTCTGTAAAATTGTAAGAAATGTTATTATTAGAAATCTGTGATTAAGAGAAGTTGAAAGAAGAAAAAACCAGCACCACGCGTGCCCATAACTCAGAGACAGTTTCCACTTCAATATGCTGGGACTCTAGGACTCCACTATGCTGCTGCTGGAAGATTTGCAATCTAGAGGCAGTAAAGTTATCATCTGAACTAGGAAAATCTTATGCAGCTTAGTCATCCTTCACTGTTGACATAAGTTAGAAAGTCTGAGAAGACTGGTTACTTAAACCTAACTATTCTTCAGGGCAAGTATGTCTACAAATGCTGTTGCATTGCAGCACAAGCACTGCTAGCCAGAGACCTCTCCCTCACATCCCACTATCATTTGCATGGCTACACACATTCCCTCATCTCTAGAAGTGAGAAGAAAGCATCTCTAAGAGGAGAGTGTATGTATGGAACAGGATGCATGGGTGGGAAAAAAAGCCCCAATTAGGAACGTGTGGAGAAAACACCTAGAACAGTTCCTTCTGTGAAGTACCTATTTCTCCCCTCCTGAACTGTATATAAATCCAGGCGCTCTGCAGTTATAAGCAGTACCCTCCAATTTAAATCCCAAGAGTAGATAGACAAGCAGTTTGTGGGTACTACTTTGGCAACTATTGCCTAAATTGACAAATTCTACTTTGCATATTATCATTACATTTGAGGGCACCATATAGTCAGAAAATCACTAAAATTACTTGTTTGAATACAATTCTGAGTCAGTCTGCCTGTGGTTCTTTCTTGCCCTCTACTCTCTCATGACAGCTTGTCCTATTTCTTCATGGCAGCAAAAAAAAAAGGTATTTTTTTTTCCTCTGTCTCAGACACTCCCCCATAAGGAGCTCTAGTTTAACAAATCACGCATGCCAGATTGAAATTGCTGCATTAATGACCCTAGACATCCATCAATGGCAAAAAAAATAGCCACGCTTGGCCTGTAAACATTTCACTAGAGACATCTTTCAGAATCATCTGCTATTTTTAGAAGTAAAGAATCCAGTCACCCGTAACACCTGGGCCTACACAGGAAGTTCGAAGTGGGAAGTGGCCCGAGGAAAGCATTCCCAACCTCTGGAGATGAAATTACCAAAGACGACATGTTCCTACTACAACCCCATTAATGTATGTACAACAGCATGTTATGAGAGAGGGACATAGCATGAGCATAGACTTTAAACCAGGCTTTTACTTTATCTCCTCAGAAGATTTAACCTTTAAGAAAAAAGTTTAGGATGTGACAGGTTCACTAGAGCTCATAGTATGGGATCTCAGAGGCTGTGACAAAGTGAAGATGTAAGAAATACGGTTAACAGCAGAAAAAGAGGAAACATCAACATTTCCAAGCTTCATCATTCATACAAGAACCCTAAAACTAACTCATAACTGCGAACATCCAATACACAGAGTACTTGTAGCAAATCAAGGGGATCTGCACCCTCTTTAACTGGGTAAAACTTCAATACAAGTTAACTTGCTAATGAAAAGCCAGACTTAAAAGACTGACATATCCATTTTGTAGTTAGGTTTGTTCTGTGCCATTGCAAGCACTACTATAAGCTGTCATCCAGCATTAATGATGCACCTCAACCAGGAAATTATCTTGCCAATCATAATTTAATATTAACCACTTAATAAAATCAGAACTAAAAGATTAACGAAGAAAGCAACACCCACTGTTGAAGAGCGCACAAGTGGGTAATAGGCAAAACAAAATAATGAAGAAAAAAGAGCTTTACCACACTGAGTTCTCTTTTTCTTTTTTTTCTTTTTCTTTGACTTGGACCTTCCATAGTCTTTGGATTTTCTTTCTTTGTTTTTCTCACGTTCTTTAACAGCTGAAATTAGACAACATTCCATCTTAATTTTTAAGACATATACACACACTTATTCTACTTATTAATTTTCTTAAAGACCTCCATAATATTTTTGCACAGTAAGAGCCAGTTCACTGCAAAAAAAATACCAACAAAAAACCCAAGAAAACTTATTGGTAAGAATTCCCAGCTCTTGTAATCGCAATAGCCTGTTTTAAGTCCTAATGTGATTGTGCCATAACAAAATTACAATAGCATGTGGGAGAAATCAACTGTATGCCAATGCCCATTTACTACTTACCTGCTTCAGAGATTATTAAAAGAGAACACTGGGGGGATTTGTTATATCCATTTTCTAAATTACGATAATGGACATTTCAGTAGCACTGTGACAGAAGTCTGACAAAAACAAAATCACAACCCCCCCAAACTCTATCACTTCAGTCAAATACTTGTTTTCATTGAAAATGGAATAACAACTCCTTCAGTTGGCTTTAACTGCTATTCTCTCACCATCTGTTCTCCATCCTGTCTTTAAGGGAATAAAAACTCCACCATAATTTTTGAATGATTGGGTGGTATCAAGTCCATCCTCAAACTTTGCTTCCAGAGCACTTGCCATGAAGTATAACCCTGCTGCAAGGTAACGTGCACAAACCTTTGCTTTCCATATCCCAGCATGTGTTTACAACTCCTGTCTTTCAGATTTAGATCTCTGCAGCAGGATTTATGTATAGAGTTCCTTAAGTAAATTATCCTTACTCAATCAAGACTATAGGTGCAATCATAAAGTCTATCATGGAAGGATGCCTTGCGTCTCAAAAGGGCTTTGCTCTCAGAGCGCTTAGCTGATCAAGCCACTATTTCAATTTCTCACACCTATTTCAAGACACCTATTTCAATTTCTCGTTAAGATCAGATTAAGCACCTAAAGATACTCTACACTGTAAGAAATTTTCTCCTGCACAAAACATTTAAGCAGCCAAGGTGGTCTGTAACCACTCATGAAGCAAACCAGCAATACCAGCGTATTCCGTTAACCTCCTTCATACACGCAATAGTAAACGCCCCAGTTCACAATCCAAGGCTACATATTTATGGTACAAACAACTCAGTCTGAGAAACTGGAAATTTCAGTCATGTTTTACCAGCTGTGATGAGCATGCAGGAGACATGATCATTAGCTCCTCCTCATGAGAGTCTTCAGATCTGTCTCCCCATCCTTGAACATCTCCTGCTATTTTGCCACTTACGTTCCTCTTCTGGCATGTCATTAGTGATGGCTGCTAAAAGCGTGCATTGCCAGCAGCCGTGTTCACTGCGGACACAGACAGCAGCCTGCCATACCAGTTACATGTCCTCCAAAGGCAACATAAAAGACACACTTCATCCCCCCTCCATTACCATTTGTTGAGGGGGTTAAAAAAATTAAAAATAAAAAAAAGGAAAAAGAGGCTTATGTTTAAGACTCAGAACAGAGCTTCCAACTTCCTTCTTACTTTCCTTTGTCCTCACCATCTACTGCCCCAGTACCATTTCCTTCTGCCTGTGCGTATACAAGGATGCAAGTAAGTTTCGTCATTTTATTCTTCCAGAAGGACAAAGAGAGAATAACTGAGGTCAACACAGGTAGGAATATTTTACATCTTCTCATTTGGGGATTGAAATTTGTGTAGTCAGATTGTCTGATTTGTTTTAAAGATACTGAGAGCACAAACTATGCTACTTCAGTCACTGTCAACATATCCATGATAAACATGACAAAAAAATTTTCACTTTGTTCCATGCTTTTTCCCTTGAGCTTGCCAGTATGTCTTTTAAAAATCTGAAAAAATCAAAGTATTTGCAAATTTCTGTATACAGTTTTCTTGAATGCACACTTCAGTTAATGCAGGTTTTTCTTAAAAAAAAAACCCAACCCAAACCAAAACCATAAAGAATGAGTGTTATAAAAGAGACCTTCCAAAAGCCCCATACTGTCAAACTGCTGTCTCATGGTGTTTCCTGTAAGCACTCTGAAGTCTTGAAGTCTAATGAATTCTCACTGAAAAAAAGACAAGAGAAGGAGGCTGCCTAGGTTAGGAGCATCCTCATAGATTCACATGTTTAAAGAGCAAGGTAAACTTATATAACCCCTACCAACTCATCACAAAACAACTACATTTTTAAAAAGGATTTTGTGACAAAAGCATAAAAACAACTAAGCCCTCTGAATTTCCTTGAATCGCAGAGAGACTAATGAGAACCAACTCAGTCACATCCTCCACCACTACTGTGAAAGTCTTTATCTCTATATGCCATGCCCCCAAATGTCCCATGCGCAGCCCAACGATGGGACACGAACAGATCTCACTCAGACCTTCTGACAAGAGAAGGCAGCAAAGGACACCCAAGAATAAACAGAGGTGGTATGTTCTGACTGACTACTACAACCAACAGAACAATCCAGTGACAGGCAAGCAAGGTGATCTTCTCCAGACCATCTCCAGAGCAAAGAACACCTCTTACAGACAGAATAGTCTAAGCACAGATTTATTTTTTTGTGCTTTCCTCATCCCTGTGACTCAAATTCTGACCACGTATCTGAAGGAGAGTGGTGATAAAGGAAATCTAGAAGTATGCTGGAAATTATTTATATATATTAAAAAATATTTAAATATATGTATTATCTTTATATATGTGAGTATGTATACATACACTTCCCCTGCCCCCTTTATGGCTGTTACCCACGTATACTACAATAGATTACAGTATAAACAGGGTTTACAGGTTTACACTATACCACTGAACAGTCTGAGTTGAAGCTGTTGACCGATGTTTAGTAACAAGGAGTACCGATTACCAGAAGCAGTCAAATCCTCTTAAAAATGAAAAACATGCAAAAGAAAAAAGACTAGGTCATCCTGCCCTTGGTGGTCCACTCCCCCCACCCCCACACTTTTTTTTTTTCCTATTAAATTTAGGTATCTCAACAAGTTTAGGATTACTTAAAATATTTAATGCTTTGGACAACCAAGAGTTTTAACAGACATGTGTATCAAACAAGCAAAAAATAAGCAAGAATCTTTTCATTCCCTTGAATACCTCTGTACGTTTTACATCTCAAAAATATTACATATTGACTGGGAATAATAAACCCCAATGCATATACCAAGAAAACTCACAAAATTCCCTATATCGAATGTTCATTTGAAACTACTGCAAAGAAACAGTGAAAACTCACTGCTTACATTTTACATTGTACATTCATAAAAAATTAAGTTCTCTAAAAGAAGCTATACAGAATACTTTCTATCAATATTATCAGCTCCTTACAATGCTTAAAACTTTTCCAAGACTTTTTCAAGCTTAACTTTTTCACGTTAAACTAAAAAGGCGTACCATTTTCAACTCTCTTTTCTTGAGGCTTCCGCAGTGATCTCGCTATGTGGTTCTTGGTTTGTTCTCTAACAGAATGTCGGTGACTATTTAATGCACTTACAGGAGTTGAAGTTCTTCTCTTTTCTATTTTTTCACCTCTATGTGGGGTACTCCTTAGGGCTATGTGGAGAGGACCATCTACAAAGAGAATAAAGATGAAGTCCAAGCTTTAAATGTTTTTTAAAAAAATCTAAGTCTACATCACCAGTAGCAGTTCTGGTAGTCCACGTGGAGTGTTTCTGATCAGACACACTGCTCAACTCAAAATCCTAACAACTGGATCATGGAAAAGCTTTTAAACAGAAGCAGATTTAAATGCTAAAACTTGTAATGCTTTTTTTTTGGTGGTTTTTTTTTTCCCCAAAAAAGAAAAGAATAGATAGAAATGCCTTCCCCAAAGCTCTATTCTTCCAGAAATATTGTGGCTTTGAAGAAAGATGCACAGAGAAACAGTTCAGTTTGGCAGAGATACAAGTCAGGTAATTTTTATTGCCTTTGAGAGAAAAGGGCCCTGTTGATTTAATTAGAGGAACCAGTCTTGTTCTCAAAAGCGTGCTTTGCAATGAGGCATATAGAAATGGCAGAGAGAAGCTCTGCACATTTAAGGAAGAGCAGTTTTTAAATACATACGACAGAAACACGAGTATTTCAATTGAGAGCGAGATGCAAGAATTAAGGATCACTACCTAAAATTCATAAAACTCACGAGATGCAGACATGGCTTCATTCAAGATTCCATTTACTATTTAAGTCAAGTCAAACAGTTCTCATCTTCCTAAGTGCAGCTAGCAACTCCTACTGAAAGACTCCTGGACATGGAAAAAGAGAGGTGAAGCTGATAAAATCTAAGGCTGCGTGGCATGTAGGACAGCCACTGAACAAGACAAGTACATCGCCATTTTGGAGAATGACATCATGTATCTTGGTCAATGAGACCCAGCAGCCAAGATGACAGCTTGCTGACTTTCATCAAGAACGTCCAATTTTATCGTTGTAAGAGTCTCAGAAGTTCAGTGGACATTAAAGGCAATGTCCTCCTTGTCTGAAGACTTACATGCCAGCCAGATTTTCAGTTGGACGCCTATAACTAAATAATTGTGAGCAGTACCTGCAAATGACTGAAATGAAAACAGAAGGAAGAATGTCCAAGAGAGCTTAGGAGAAGAAATGGTATCAAGTACTCTGCCGTGACCAGCATTTCAAGTTGAAGCCATAACAAGGCACATTAAGACATGTTATTATGGAGCCTTCAGAATCAAATAGATCTCTTCAGGTAAAAGAAAGTCCAAGATCAGAAATCTGAAGGCCATGAGAGGACTTTTTCCATGGTCTTCTCACTCTGAAGTTGCATTAGAACTTAAAGAAAAAAAAAAAAACCACAATAGGAGCCATTCATAACTATTTCTGTAACCAAACGCTTACCTTCTAGTCACCTGCCATAGTGTTTCACAGCCACCAGACAGAAATTACACCAAACCCCAAATTTCTACACAAGACTGTCTCAAAGGTACCCTTTGTCCAGTCAGGCAGCTCACTGTTGCCTTTCCCTGGGTGCTTATTTACCTCAATAACTGTAAGACTGTAGAAAGTTGCATGTTTTGTCCACAAAGAATTATCAAATAGAAGATAGTCCTTGATAAGATACTGCAGTATGCAGAAATATCAAATCCAGAAAACACTCCTTGATAAGACACTGCAGCATATGCATGGCCTTCCATTTTCAACAGGACTAACTTCTCTTGCAGGAATAACTACAAAGAGAGAGGTTTTGGTTTTTTGGTTTGGGTTTTTTGTTTTAGGTTTTTGGGTTTGTTTTTTAAAACACAGGCCTATTTTTGTAGGAATTTTTGCTAACAGAATTCACTTATCTGAGGACTTCCATGATTAGTGGGTTGAACAAGACATCATCAGTTCACAGAGACAAAACGTAAATGGTAGCTGAAAATTATGATCTGTTTGGGAACACTAGAGTCCTAACAAACTCAGAAGTGCAAACTGTTTGTAGCAGTACACGGTGAGAAGTCATGTAAACAAGTCTTTCTTGAGCTTTCCCAATTGCCTGCCTTTCTGCATTAAGCTTCAAAAATATTTACAGAACACCACCTCAGGGAACCCCAAAATTACAATACAAAATCTATACAAACCAGACAACCTCTATTTAGCCTCTTAACTTTCTCCTCTCCCAGCAGCTCAACTCATTTTCAAGAATTAAGATTTGAAAAACCCCATGGCCACCTTGATCCTACCAGTCTTTCAAAGAGCACAAGGCATCTGGCGCTCCTGTTGGCTGAGATCTGTGTACACAGACTCTTGGTGGAACAAAACCGCATTACGAGTCCATTAGTTTTTTTAGCTTTGCAATATTGAAGTTTAAAGAGATTTTTGCCAAGAATATGTTGCATTTTTTATGATACGTTAATATATTTCTATAAGACTTTTCAGCCACCAGTAACACTGTCTTGGGGGAGTTCAAGGACACTGTCATACACTGGATGTATTTTTCTTCAAAACTGAAAAAAATACTTATCAACAAATATGTTAAGTTTTGAAACACCTTTTGTTCCTTTGACAGAAAAGTTTAGAGGGTCTGTGAGATCTTTGAGCACTGAAATATATTTTAGGAGTTGAGACTAAATTGGAGAAGATGACGAGATTAAAAAGCTGGAGAGTAATCCTAAACTTCTCCAAAAGTAAACGTTAAAACTTGTGCCATGAAGACCCAAACTTGTAAGCCTTCCGCATTTAGTATTCTGTTTCCTCTCAATACAGCATTTTCAAGTATAATTCAAACAGGCTAATTTATAAAGTTACTCCCAAAAGAACAAAGAACAATTACTTACCATAACCAACCACAACCAAGAACTTTTATTTAGGCAAACGCCTTTAAAACTTGCACATTCCCCAAGGTCAGACTTTCCCCATTAGCATCACCTACAGAGCGTGCCATGTGCTTTCATCCTCCTGACTCTCTGGGTGAACCTTCACTCTCCAGGAGGCTTCCAACTCCTCTGCCTCCTCCCAATAACCAGAACACCTGATTTTCAATTTCAAGAGAGGCCAACATGGAGCACACAAATACACCATATTTACATACCTTTACACCTTCAACTTTTGTTAGTGCTATAACTAGATTCTCTTGCAACTCACTTGTCCATGTAAGCCCTCCACTGAGAGCACCAGGCAACAAGACGACTGTACTGCAAGTCTGCAGTGAACATCAGGACTATGCTCACAGAGACTCCTATCAGGAAGCACATAGGAGACTCCTATACACTTTGTAAAGCCATCTATGCAGGTCCCATGAAGACACCTGCACTCGTCTTACAGAGATATCCTGAGGTGGGACACAGGTGGCACCTAAACTACAACTTCCACATATTCCTGATTAGGACCAATTAAAACAAAAATCAAAATAGATATTAGCATGCTTTAACACCTCTATGATGCAGAATATCATTAATCATCATCAGAATTATGATTCTCTACAATTAGACCACAAAAGCCCTCCTGACATCCAGGGCAGTGAACAGTTTCACTGTTCTTGGACAGGGATGTTGGAATTAAACTCCAGCAGATTAATTTCTAGCTCAGATGATGGTAAATACCACTAAGAGGAACAGGAGAAATGTTCATTAAAAACCAGAGATGACGAGGCTTACTGATTAACTGCCCACAGCCTTCTTCCACAGAGTTCTTCAGGCCTCTCTTCTCTAAACCTGGGAAAAGTACCCTCTTCCATAAAAACTGCTGACCCATAAGCAGTAAAGGATCTTAGGAACTATCAAATCCAGACGTGAAAAATGAAACCACCTCAGCCATGCAGAAACCACAGGGACAGAGACTTTCGAGAACTTATACCTCAGCATGTCAAGACTCAGTGCCAGACAAGGCAATAATTTCTGTCCAACGGAACACAAAGATGTTAATAATTCAGCCTTCACAGAAAGCAGAGACTGAATTCCCAGGTGTTGTGAATTAAACAATATTCACCATCCACAGCTGTGAGATCATTTGCTGATATTGTCAAGAACTGAAAGACCACATACCAACTATGACTCACAGCTGAAGTATTTCACACAGCCATCCTCCAAAAACTAATGCAGCATTCTCAAGAAAAGCCAAAGATGATCAGCAATTCTGCAGAATGCAGAGGGCATTAATGCAAATCTTCACTTACTCCAACAAGAAGCCTGTAGGTCACTGGAGCACATTCCACCACCTAGCAAAGGCATCCAGCAGCCAGTAATCAGGGGAAAAAGGAAACCCCCCCAAAGGATCACCCTGGAAACCCTAAGGCACATGCCAGAGGTTCACACAGTAACAGCTACCAGTTGACAACTGGATGCCTTAAATGTTCAAGCTGTAAAAGTGAGTTTAACAGCCTGTTACCTGCACAGTTGGATCCCATCACTAACCCCAGTAAACAGGAGAACCTTTTTTCTTTCGATGTATTCCTAGCATTAAGACAGCTACACATTAACATGACATCATGTAACTAACTCTGAATAGACAGAATTGCAAGGTCACGCATAAAAATTTAAACCTACCAAAATAAAATCCCATGCATATTGTTAAGTACCTTTTATGGAATCCTCAGCAGGGACAGATTTTTCTACAGTCTCTGAACTACAAATGGCAGGTCTGTTGCTTTCTTTTCGTTCTCACGACAAGGAGAACAGCAGAGAAAAGACTGGCAGCAACTTGCCCGACTGAGGCTACCATACCCACATACCCAAACTGCAGCCTAACACCGCACAGCATTTTTTCAGTCTCCAAACCAGGTTTAACTTCCATGAGAGCAACCTCCTCAGGGGAGCCAAACCATGTCCTAGGAGTGTAAGGGTATCAGCTGATGAAGTCCCCAGCAGCACAACAGTCATGCTAAGGGCAGTATCCAGCCTACTGTCCAGCACCACTAAGTGGTTATTAAGGGCATTAAGAGCACACCACCTACCTTAGTTAATGTTTTGATAGCATTTCCTTGCACGCACATACCAACTCACCCACTTGTTCATATCTAATGAGGTTCAAATTTCCTGACAAATCTTCAGTACTTTCAACTGTAGAGCCTCTTCAAGGTCTGAGGTGATGTACATCAGCTGTGAAGTCTGGCACAAGTTGACTTTCAGATTTCAGAA